GAGAGAGAGAGAGAGAGAGAGAGAGAGAGAGAGAGAGAGAGAGAGAGGAGAGCTATTTGTGTCACATCTCAAGGCTTTAAAAATTAGCCATAGCAATGGGAAGAGAAAGGAGGGTGGATCTCTGTAAGTTTGAGGCTAACCTGGTCTACATAGTGACTTCAGGACAGCCAGAGCTCCATAAAGACACCCTATCTTGGAAAACAAAATCCAGCTGGGCGGTGGTGGCGCACACCTTTAATCCCAGCACTTGGGAGGCAGAGGCAGGTGGATTTCTGAGTTTGAGGCCAGCCTGGTCTACAGAGTGAGTTCCAGGACAGCCAGGGCTATACAGAGAAACCTTGTCTCGAAAAACCTAAAAAAAGAAAAAAAAAAAAAGGAAAACAAAATCCAAAACTCCACCAAAACTTGAAACCCCAAACCCAACCAACCAAAATGCTGCAGACCAGTCATTTATGTACACAGATAATAAGTATCTGTCAGTTGTGTACCCCCGTTAGTTTACCAGTGGTGCCCACAATCAATCAACTAAGTTAAGGACTACATATCCACAGATCCCTCTGCATGCAACTACAGAGCATGCCCAACAGTTTACACTAACGGATTTCTTTCATATCATTACCTACTTTTAAGAAACAGAATGGATTTCCCTGTCTGGAGATTTGGAAATCATATTATTAAACACTTCAGCTATATTTACATCTTTTCAAATATTAGCTGTATCTAGTTCCTAAAAAATTTGCACCAATTCATACTTTTTTGCTTAATTACTCTTCATGAAGGCTTACATTTCTATTATTCTTTCTTGATATGAGACTAGTTTAAAACATATGGTTAAGAGGCATTCTTTAAGGCATATGGTCTATGAATCCCTCTTGACTTTATAATTATACACTGAAGTCATGAAAGCAAAATCATGAAAATGCAGATGCTCAAAGTTCACTTCTCTTTTTAGAATCTTACACTTTAGTCACTTGTCAATGTCCCCAAGACTGTATTTCAGAAAGTATTTTTGAACATTTATGTATTTTAATTTTATATACATGAGTGTTGTACATGCATGCAGGTTTGAGCACCATGTGTGTCTGGTGCTTCAGGGGTCAAAAGAGGGCATCAGATCTGGAGTTACAGACAGTTACATGGGTGTTATATGGATACTGGGAAACAAACCATGTCCTTTGTAAGAGCTGTAAGTGCTCTGAACTGCTGAGCCATTAGAAAATAGTTTTGAACATGCAAATGGTTTGATGCTCCATATGTAAAGAGTGAAGATGGCTTTGGTTTTTAAGGAAATGTACAGTTACTACACAAGCCCCAGGTGCTTTATAATAACCCCCACGACAAGCATGTGCTCACCTTAACAAACTCCTTTCTCTCAATCATCTCATTTCCATCTGCATCCAGCATTTTAAAAGCAACATGGAACCCAGAGTGAGGTTCTGCAAGGAAATGAACAAGGAGCAATTATTTAGTTGTTGGTGAAAGCTAAGTATCTGTAGCTAGAAAAACCTTCAAAATTGAAATAAATGACCAGAAAGTATGTGGGCAAGAGCTGAACAGAGAAAAGAGGATCTGCTTCAGTTTTTCTTTCTTTCCTTTTGTTTTTGAGACAGGGTTGTCTTTTTTTTTCTTTTTTCTTATTGGATATTTTATTTACATTTCAGATGTTATCACTCCCCCCCCCCCATCCAGGAACCCCCCATCCCATCCTCCCTTCCACCTGCTTCTATGAGGATGTGCCCCATACTCTCCCACCTCCCCACCCACGAATTCCCCCACACTGGGGCATCCAGCCTTCATGGGACCAAGGACCTCCTCTCCCACCTATGCCCAACAAGGCCATCCTCCCCTACATATACAGCTGAAGCCATGGGTCCCTCACTAAGTGCTCCCAGACTGGTGGTTTAGACCCTGGGAGCTCTGGTTGGTTGATGTTGTTGTTCTCCTCATGGGGCCACAAACAGGGTTGTCTTTCAAATAGTACTTGATGTTAACATGCCTGTGTCTTGGCATCTCCCATGAGCCGTGGCTGTGCTGCTCGCCCTTTACAACAAATCCCATGAGAACTTGTTCTTCACCTCTACCTCTGGCTTCCTTCTACTCTCACAGCACTCCTGCTTGTTTCATAGCAATTATCATTATTTCATTATTATTGTTACTATCATTATTTACTTTCTTAATTTTTTTAACTTTTAATTTTGCTATTTTTTTGACATACTATAATAGTGTATAGTGGCAGGCCAATATACCTCTAATAGAACATGTAAAGTTTTACGCATCTATCGAACACTTAGCAAGTCTAAGATATTAACACTGGTACAGCATTATGAACCATGAACAGCAGATTTTATACTTTTCACTAACGTACTGTTTTGTTTTAGAATGCAGCAAGGTATGCTGCATTAAGTCACCAAGAGTACTTAGTGTCATCCATGTCTGGGAGTTCCTTGGTCTTTTCCTAGTTTTCACCACTAGAATACTTTTGAAGGACAAGAATATTGTTCACTGTCAAATAAAGTTGTTTTTAAAAAAAATCCCTAAGAGGCCAAACATGGTAGCCCATCCTTTAATCCCAGAGACAGGCATGTAGATCTCTGTGAGTTCAAGAGAGTTCCAAGCCAGTCTGGGACACACTGTGAGACTCTCTTTCTCAGCAAAACCAATCTCCCACTCCCCCAAAAAATAAAACAACAAAATATTCCCCCCCAAGGCTTTCTCAGAGAACATTAACCATGATTATTTTCTTTCCCTTTTTCTCAGATTGAGAAAACTAACCATGATTTCTCTCACCCTGTTTTGTTTCAGACACCAAGTTTCTGGGTATAAGGAGACAGAGCTCAGAACACACTGTAATTTAACATTATTTTGTTAAGGTTCCCGTGTGTGTGTGTGTGTGTGTGTGTGTGTGGTGTCTGTGAGTCCATTTGTGTGCACACATGGAAGCCAGGACTTTGGATGACTTCCATTACTGCCCTCCACTTTCTGCCCTTAAAGAATCTGGAGATTTTTCTGCTGTTTCATTAGACTGGCTAGCCAGTCAGTGAGTCAGTCTCTCTCTGTCTCTCTCTCTGTCTCTCTCTCTGTCTCTCTCTCTGTCTCTCTCTCTGCCTCTCTCTCTCTCTCTCTCTCTCTCTCTCTCTCTCTCTCTCTCTCTCTCTCTCTCTCTCTCTCT